TATAGTGGTTAAGTTAGGATATACATGACAATAGTTTTTTCACCACTGTAATGGACAGTTCCAATCTCCATTCAAACTTTTTTGTGGGTAATATATTATCAGACAAATATATGTCGACTTCTTTTATATCTCTCGATACAGGTTTATGTTTATATGAGTCATATCCAATTAATTCATCAAAAACACACCATGGACATAAGTCATCTTTATCAGTTTCTTTTTCTTTTACTGGTTGATTTTCAATAATACAATCTTCTTTTTTTTATAGAAGAAACTAGCTTCTTAACTCTTTCTTTTGTTTTTTACCTTCATTTTTATCAGAAAATCCCTGCATTTTAAATTATTATTTGTTATTTACGAATCTACGGTTTCTCACGGGTAAGCCAACTAGTTGATGGTTGATTCAAAAAAACTACGTTTTGTGAAGACGTAAACAGAGGGATAACGAATACTTTACGTCGACGAGAACGATTAGTTGATCTGAGAGACTACTACAAAACTAAAAATATCATGCGACTCTTTCGGGATAGTAGATAGTCAGGCTATCGGTTGACGTTGAAAATAAAATAACTAGGTATTCTGATTAATAAATGAGTTTCGATTTACGATTGATCTGCATTTTCGATTTAAAATCTTTGTTGATAGTTCTCCCAAAGGATTTATTTATTGTAAATATTCAATTAAGAATTATTTTTCTTAGTCAAAATTATTGACCTAGTATAAGAATAAGATATAGATAGATATAAGATATAGATATATATTTATTCCTGTTTCATCGACTTCTAGAAGGCATTCGACAGGGTCCGACATGAAAAACTAATAGAATACTAAGAAACAAAGATATAGACAGACGAGACTTACGAATCATTATCAATCTGTATTGGAATCAAAAGGCCAATATAAAGATAGAAGAACAAAAGTCCGAAAATATAGATATAAAGAGATGAGTAAGACAGGGCTGTGTTCTGTCACCAATACTGTTTAACGTGTACAGTGAAGCCATATTCCAGGAAGCGATAGCGGATCTGGGTGATGGAATCTCTGTAAACGGAAGAATAGTAAATAACATAAGATTCGCTGATGACACCGTTATAATGGCAGACACCCTGGAATCGCTACAAGAATTGGTAAATAGAATTAACGATTATTGCATTAGATGCGGACTAAAAATAAACAAGAGAAAAACTAAATTTATGATTGTTTCAAAAACGCAACATGGGAATGAAAGATTAATGATAGAGCAAACCCAAATAGAAAAAATAGAGACATAAAAATATCTGGGAACCTGGGTTGATGGCAAAAATGACCAAAGCAGAGAAATTAAAGTCCGAATTGAAACTGCAAGGCAAGCATTTGTGAAAATGAAGACAATGCTTAGGTACCAACAGAGACCTTCAGTTGCATCTTAGATTGAGGGCTCAAAGATGTTACATATTTTCTATCTTACTATACGGAATGGAAGCTTGGACATTGAAGAAACAACAAATAAGAAAAATAGAAGCGTTCGAAATGTGGTGTTACAGAAGATTGTTAACAATTCAGTGGGTTCAAAGGATTACCAATGCTGAGGTACTACGTCTAAATAAGGAGTTAGAAATTATGAACAGCATAAAAAAAAGAAAACTAGAGTATTTGGGATACATAACCAGAGGAGAAAAATATGACCTGCTGAGAATTATTATGCAAGGAAGGATCCAAGGAAGAAGAAGCATAGGAAGAAGTCGCATCTCCTGGCTGAGGAACCTTAGAGAATGGTTTAACTGTAGTTCACTACAGCTTTTCAGAGCAGCAGCCAACAAAGTGACCATAGCCGTTATGATATCGAACCTCCGATAGGAGATGGAACATTAAGAAGAGAATAAGAATAATAATTCTATTTTTAAAAAATGAACATTTGTAGAGCATGCAGCTTTTATGGTCCACTTTCTGAATATTGCAATGAATGAAACTTCTCCTGATGCATTTCTGTCCGTTTCGACTACTTCTACTACAAGTACTGACATACTCCCACAGCCATTCAAGCGTCAAAAGGTGATGGATACTTCAATTAATAAAAATATTGGTTTAGAACAAAAGAAACAAATAGATATGGATTTACTAAACCTATGCAAATACTCGTTTCATCCGTTTTCTATAATTGAAGAACAAGCTTTTAAAAAGTTTGCAGGGTGGATTCCTGGATATAAACCGCCAACAAAAAAAACATTGTCAGGTTCATTTCTTTAGAAATGCTATATCAAAACTGAGCAAATTATTAAAACACAAGTTGTTAAAGAAGTAGAAAATATCTGTATTACTACTGACCTCTGGAGTAACTGAGAGTTACATCGCATTAATAGGACAATATTTAACCGAAAATTTAGAATTTAAAATGGTTTTATTAGGCTACTGCCATTTTTCTGGAAACCATAATTCAGAAGACATCGCTTTTGAAATTAGTGAAATTATTAATCAGTGAGGTCTAAACCGAAAAGTAAATTTTGCAGTAACTGATAATGCCTCAAATATGGTCAAAGCTATTAAAGATGTTTTGGAATAAAAACATTTAAATTGTTTTGCTCATACGTTAAAAACGTACGTCTTAGGTATGTATAAACGAAAAAAGTCTTTTTTTCGACAATTTGGCAAACAACAAACATTACAAAAGTACCTTTTTTTCAGAAAGGCTTTTAAAGTATCAATTACAACACAGCAAAGTTCCCAAAAGGCCAATCCAAGACGTGGAAACTAGATTAGATTAGATTATACCCTCGATATTACCCCCGATAGTGGCTGTAAGACCTTGACGTGGGTTCGTGGGCTTAAGCTGACTGTTCAGGTAGGGCTGTAGTCTGGCGCAGGAAATGGAACAAGTATATGTGTGTAAATGAATGGGATCTCACTAATAAGGAGCACTCCGTTGAATGAAGGTACCCCCTATAAACGGGCTAGGCCTGGCGAACAGGAAATGTGAATGAATGTGAAAGGACCCTCGCTAAAGCAGTTTCTGCCACCGTTTAGATCTCTGGAATACCTGGGAATCTCTTCCAGATAGCCGAGAGACTAAGTGCGGATGAACTGCTTCACCGACTAAGAAGTAGCCTACCCAAGTTAACAATACCAGGAATCAGAGCGTGGAGGATGGTGCTCGCCCCCTGCAATGGAATCTCAAGACTGGATTAGTGTCCAGATTGATGTTTGGTTGCGGGAGGAGACAGTCATCCACGGAAACCTGCCTGGTATAAACCGTGTCTATTACGTCATAAGAAGGACATAGATGTGGGGGCTTGTCTTAACCGGCCGGCCAAGTGGAAGGGAACCACAATAAAAAATCCTCCCAATTTCAAGGTTGAACAGCATAAGCCGAAGAATGAATAATTAGGGGGTATCTAACTACTATTATGCGAACTCTGGGGCACCTGGCGAACCTCAGTTTCACTAGCCTTACTGTGGCATGCGGGGCTCTGCTGCAGGTGACATTTATTTACCTAGCTTCTCGTGGGAATCTGTATGGAACCCTATATTAAAGAAAAAGAAGGGATATCCGACTCCCAAAGATCAGACACTGAAATGGAGGTTAGCGACCCTCATGTACAGGCCAAAAATAAGTCTGAAAAAACTGAGGAGGAACTACTCCTAACTAATGGCGACGAGCTTAGACTCTTAAGTCCCGTACACGGGAAAGAAAGGATAAAGCTATCTGGTGCCGCAAGAAAAAGGTTTAAATACCTTAGTAAGAAAGGGCTGACTCCGGAAGCAGCCCGAAAGAAAGCAGTCGAGCCCATAAAGGAGAAATCTCTGGAAAAAACCCCAAAAGAGCCCGCTCTGAAGAGAACACTCCCGAAGGTCGACATGCAAAAAAATCAAGGGGTGATGCAGATAAAGGCGACACTGTGCCTAAATCTGGAAAACCCTCCTTCAGTCAAATGGCTGAAGGTGTTAAACTGGGAATCCTACCCTCGGAATTCCCACGACATCTCCTTGCAACGGAACAATTAGAGGCCGTTAAGGAGAAGATCTTAGACAAGATTCTTGAGCTCCAGAAGGAAAACAGCAAAAAGACTAACTTTCTGAGTGCTCAAAACAGAACTGGCTAGCTAGCTTTGATGTGCGCCGACAAAGCCACCTTGCAGTGGCTAAAGACACACATTGGAGAGATACAGCCATGGGAGGGTGCCACATTGAGACTCGTAGAGACTTAGACTTAGACCAAATCTAAATAATGAAGACTAGATTATTTGTTCTTAACTTTCCCAAATTTTACGGCCTTTTAAAGAAATAATAAGTACAATGAGTACAAATTTTTGAAGGGTAGTTCAGTGATTGTTATGGTACGCTGCCTGCAAGAATCTTGCAATAAAATTTAAGCAAATGGTAACCTTACATCCATAGTATCCGATGTAGGACAATTACTAATATCGGGTATAGCAAAAAGATTTAGAGGGATTGAACAGAGTGGCATATTGTCATTATGTAGCTAAACAAACAAAAGAAAGAGTTAAGAAGCTGGTTACTTCGCTCAACTGAACTCTTTCGGACTGTAGTGTCAAAAGTTAGAACAACAGTGATGATTGCCAACCTTCGTCGCGGAAATGGTACGTAAAGAAGAAGAATTACAAATATTTATCGCCAATTTTTGACTGTCAACCTATTATCAATGTGTTCTCCTAATTTTAAATACATGAAAACATGTGAGTTTGATAAACTATGTTATGAACGTAGTGATCCTGCAATGGGATCTTATACTACTACCTTAAAAACAATAGTATTAATTTTTTTCTTCTATTTTTGCATTATTTATTATACATTTGTCTAACTGAATATAAAATACATTATGAATTAAAACTGTATTTTTGCTTATCTTCGACAGTGCTTTAAATATTGAGAGAATTTGCTATTACCTTTGTGAGCACAGCTGACCATTTAAGCCAAAGCTTTCATTCCTAATCCAAAATACCCGCAAATTCGTGAAATATACTTCATGTAGCACACGTGTAGCTATATTTTTATTTAGAACTTACCACATCGATCAGTTGTGAGAGTCTAAGTCCCATTTTGACGGTAAGTCGATCGGAGTTGTTGCCCACGGGTCGGATGAGGCGATTGTAATTGGAGAGTAGGTCGTCATAAAGCCTCTTTGCGTCCGGGTTGCCCCAAATTGGGGTAGGAGGGGTTAGTCCACCCAACATCAGCCATGATAGAGTGAGCCACAGCCCCATTTCAAGCCCTGGATCAAAAATAATATATTTTTTAGATACGAGGAAATGGCACATTATATATAATGTAGAAAACTTTATTACCATGTAAAGATTAACGCAAAATATAATAAGAAAATATGTTTTTGAGAGATCCCAGTTTACTTATGTAAATAATAAACGAAAATATATTTGATATGTTGTTCTTGTTGAAATTATGATATAAACACATTAGTTATTTGATGTACACTTACTATTATACTACAATGAATTATATTTATAGACTCAATATTAATCGTTTATTTCGTTTTATATTTCATATTAATAAAGTATGGATTTTTTAAAATCTTGTACAACAAAAACAAGATTATATAGAAGTTGGCCATTTTTTTACATATAAAACGTACATAACCTATCTAATATACTTTATGGAATTGAAATCGAATCATTTGGACGGCCTCAGGAATGTTTTAAAAATATAAATAATTTTTTGATAATATATCAACTAGCATATCTCGATAACTATTAGAATAGAATAGAATAGAAATATGCTTTATTGTCACTGAAAATTATTGAACAATTTTATGGACAAAGCTAAAAAATAAATCAGTCAAATAATACAAAAAGTATAAAACAAAAACAATATAGTAAAAAACAGAATAACACAATTTTAAATTAGTAAAATTATTGTATAACCTACATAATTTGTACAGACAACAACAAATGAGACAAATTGTAGCCACTGCTTGAGACACCCAAATGTAATTATAAACAATACTAATTTTGTTTCTTTGTTATACATTAAGAAACTCGTCAACTGAATAATATGGTCTTTCTGAGAGATAGATTTTTGTCACCTTACGAAACTTAATGAAGGATGTTGCGGATTTAATTTCTCTTGGAAGGTGATTATAAAGTTTCTTTGCACGATATAGAATAGAATTCTTTACTAGCTGAGTGGACGGGATCGGCAAATAAACGTTACAATCCGAATTTCTAATGGAGTAGCCATGGTCAGGTCTATCGGGAAAAATGTTTAGATGCTTTCGAATCAAACAAACCGTTTCCAAAATAAATAAAGAGTGAAGCGTCAAAATTCCGTGATTTTTGAAGTAGGTCTTGCAATGAGTTGTTTGTTTGAGACCAAATAGATAACGGATTGCTCTTTTTTGCAACTTAAAAATAGTATCAAATTGGGCCGCTGTACTAGAACCCCAAAATGGAAGCCCATATCGAAGATGGGACTCGAACAATGAGAAATATGCCATTTTGGCAGAAGATAAATTTAGTTCCTTCGAAACAGATCTTATTGCAAAGCAAGCTGAGGCTAGTTTCTTCCTTAAGGAGTCAGTATGCAAGGACCATTTGAGATCACTGTCAATGAGAATACCTAGAAATTTCACGGAATTTACGATATTGATTTGGCTCTCATTCAAAAGCAAGGGTTGCATTAGCCTAAGGAAAATGCAGGAAACGGAGTTGAAAAAGATTTGGAAGACGTTTCTTATAAAAGAATTAAAAGTTGAATTCTGAGCAATGGTTCCTGAGATACATCCAGTCAAAGTTGAGCGGCATAAATGAACTCATGAAAAAGTTTAATATAGAAACATTACCAATGTCAGATTAAGCCGTTACCACAGAATAATAAACAATCAGAATGCCCACTCTCCATGGAAAATTAAGTACGCGCATCTCCTTCGCGCAGACGTTCCGCCATGTTTTAGAGGGAACCAGTGTTGTTTATAGGGTGTACATAGAAAAATTAACCCGGTTTAATTGACTTACGGCAATCATAGACATACTATACAATTATATTAACATTGTTAAATATAATAACATAAATAAAATATAATTAAACATAAATATAAACAATTACATAACCTCACAAATCATATGTCTGTGTTATGTGTTTCCTTCTAAAACATGGCGCGCGTGCTGAAAAACTTCAAAGGCGGCATCTGAGAGTGGACATTCTGATTGTTTATTATTCTGTGCCGTTACCATTATTTTTTTGTGGACTTCGAGCCTTAAAGAAATATGTGAAATACAGTATATACAATATTGTCAAAATAAGAATAGAACCGCCAAGAATTAAAAGAAATATACTACAATGTATACTATTTTAAGAATATGGTCACACTAAAACATACTGTGCAAAACCATATAATTCCGTAAAATGTGTTGTATCCCATAACACTTTACAAAACACTTAGTGTCCTAGTCTGATTTTTTAACCCCAATTCTCCGGAAAAGAGAAAAAATCAAATTAACAATTCTCTACATTTTCAGCAAACACAGACCTCCAAATGGAAATTTTTCTCACGAACCGTTAGATGTAGGAAAATTCTGAGCATCGCAAAAAAACAAGCGGTCAATTTTATGTGGGAAATATCTACTCACTTGACTCTCGGACCAAAATTAACGCCAATATAGCCGAATAACGAAATTTGATAAAAATCCAAGGGTACCCCTTTTGATGATTTTTTCCATATTAAAAAAAAATAAAAAAAAATTTTGATATTTTGGTACATGCACTTGGTCCACCTTATTACAAATATGTGTTTTAGTATGATCCTTTAACCACAATTTGCTGGAAAAGAGTACAAATCGAATTAAAAATTCTTCACTTTTTCAGCAAATACAGAATTCCGAATTGAATTTTTTCTCACGAACCGTTAGATGTAGAAAAATTCTGAGTATGACAGAAGAACGAGCAGTCAATTTTATGTAAGAAATATCTACTCACTTGACTCTCGGACCAAAATTGACGCCAGCATAGCCGAATAACGAATTTTGATAAAAATCCAAGGGTAACCCCTTTGATGATTTTTTCCAAATTTTATTTAAAATTTTTTTTTATGTTTTGGTACATGCAATCGGTCCAGCTTCTTACAAGCATGTGTCTTAGTCTGATACTTTAACTTTAGTTCGCCGAAAAAGAGAAAAAATCGAATTAAAAATTCTTCACTTTTTCAGCAAATACAGAATTCCGAATTGAATTTTTTCTCACGAACCGTTAGATGTAGAAAAATTCTGAGTATGACAGAAGAACGAGCAGTCAATTTTATGTAAGAAATATCTACTCACTTGACTCTCGGACCAAAATTGACGCCAATATAGCCGAATAACGAAATTTGATAAAAATCCAAGGGTACCCCCTTTGTGATTTTTTCCAAATTTTAATTAAAAAAAAAAAAAAATTTATGTTTTTGTACATGCACTTGGTCCAGCTTATTACAAACATATGTCTTAGTCTGATCCTTTATCCCCAATTCAATGGAAAAGAGAAAAAATCGAATTAGAATTTTCCACTTTTTCAGCAAATACACACCTCCAAATGGAAATTTTTCTCACGAACTGGTAGATGTAGAAAAATTTTGAGTATGGCAGAAGAACGAGCGGTCAATTTTATGTAAGAAATGTCCACTCGCTTGACTCTCGGACCAAAATTGACGCCAATATAGCCGAATAACGAAATTTTATAAAAATCCAAGGGTACCCCCTTTGATGATTTTTTCCAAATTTTAATTAAAATTTTTTTTTATGTTTCGGTACATGCACTCGGTCCAGCTTATTACAAACATTTGCCTTAGTCTGATCCTTTAACTCCAATTCGCCGGAAAAGAGAAAAAATCCAATTAAAAATTCTCCACTTTTTCAGCAAATACAGAACTCCAAATGGAAATTTTTCTCACGAACCGTTAGATGTAGGAAAATTCTAAGTGTGGCAGAAGAACGAGCGGTCAATTTTATGTAAGAAATTTCCACTTCCTTGACTCTCGGACCAAAATTGACGCTAATATAGCCGAATAACGAATTTGATAAAAATCCAAGGGTACCCCCTTTGATGATTTTTTCCAAATTTTACTTAAAATTTTTTTTTTATGTTTTGGTACATGCAATCGGTCCAGCTTATTACAAGCATGTGTCATAGTCTGATACTTTAACTCCAGTTCGCCGGAAAAGAGAAAAATTCGAATTAAAAATTCTCCACTTTTTCAGAAAATACAGACTTCCAAATGGAAATTTTTCTCACGAACCATTAGATGTAGGAAAATTCTAAGTATAGCAGAAGAACGAGCGGTCAATTTTATGCAAGAAATGTCCACTTGCTTGACTCTCGGACCAAAATTGACGCCAATATAGCCGAATAACGAAATTTGATAAAAATCCAAGGGTATCCCCTTTGATGATTTTTTCCAAATTTTAATTAAAAAAAAATTGTAGTTTTCGCTTTGTTTGAACCATCAGTGTTCTATCCCTTAAATGGTTATCTTTTTGGTGTCCGTTCATATTAACTAATATTTAAGTTTGTATAAACTCGTGTTTAGTTATAATTGTATGTTGGGTTATTATTAATGTTTAATTTCACTTTTTTTTTTAACAATAGAGTTTTATATAATCCTCCGACTTTCAGTTTTTTTATTTTAATATACATACACAAAACGAAAGGGAGAGACCAGCAAGTTAAGATTGAGCATAAGATCTTATCTTCCCTTTCTGATGATCTCAATTGTTATATAGAGGTCATCGTATGTGCATAACGAAACAGATACTTCAAACATTCCATCCAAAATACATAAGTAAAGCTATGGAATATATCTAACCAAACACTTCTCAATAATCTGGACATTCCACTTATCAAGGAATAAAGAATCATTCAATAAAATATAAAAATTTCATCACTGACTACAACAATGAGCTGATAAATAAGTTTAATAGTTTATTCGTCTTCCGGGTTTGGACCGTGTCATTTGTGAGTGACCCAAAAGTGGGTTAATCTCGACGTTTCGCTAAAATTGTATGTAGCTTCTTCAGGAGAACAAAGAAAAAGAAATCAAAAGACAGGAAGATGGGTAGTTAGCAACGGTAACTCAGTTACTCAACGCAACTAAAGGCGAATACTAACTACCAAGATGGGCATTTGGTCACAGTAACTCAACTACTTAACGCAGCCAGAGGTGAAAACCAAATGCCAGGACAGGGATTCACGT